GTCCTGTCCCTGCAGCTGAAAAACACCCCCATAGCATGATGCTGAGGAGAGGCTTCCACTCTGCCCTAAAGCCCCGACTGGTGGAGGGGTGCCGTGATGGTTGACTTTCTACAACTTTCTCCCATCTCCCGACTGCATCTCTGGAGCTCAGCTACAGTCATCTTTGGGTTCTTCTGTACCTCTCTCACCAAGGCTCTTCTCCCCCGATAGCTGAGTTTGGCCGGACGGCCAGCTCTAGGAAGGGTTCTGGTCGTCCCAAACGTCTTCCATTTAAGGATTATGGAGGCCACTGTGCTCTTAGGGAATCTTAAGTGCAGCAGAAATTTTTTTGTAACCTTGGCCAGATCTGTGCCTTGCCACAATTCTGTCTCTGAGCTCTTCAGGCAGTTCCTTTGACCTCATGATTCTCATTTGCTCTGACATGCACTGTGAGCTGTAGGGTCTTATATAGACAGGTGTGTGGCTTTCCTAATCACATCCAATCAGTATAATCAAACACAGCTGGACTCAAATGAAGGTGTAGAACCTTCTCAGGGATGATCAGAAGAAATGGACAGCACCTAAGTTAAATATGAGTGTCACAGCAAAGGGTCTGAATACTTATGACCATGTGATATTTCAGTTTTTCTTTTTTTAATACATCTGCAAAAATGTCAAATTCTATGTTTTTCTGTCAATATGGGGTGCTGTGTGTACATTAATGAGGGAAAAAAATGAACTTAAATGATTTTAGCATATGGCTGCAATATAACAGAGTGAAAAATTTAAGGGGGTCTGAATACTTTCCGTACCCACTGTATATTCTGATGGAGTTAAACTTATTCTAGGTTAATACAAGAGGTTTACAAGGCTTGATAAAACGAAAAGCTCTTTTTTTATGTTTTGTAAAGAGGTGAAAGCAGATCTGTTATTTCTGCAGGACTGTCATTCATGTCCAGATGACTTGAAATTATGGAAGAATCAATGGGGCAACGAAATTTGGTTTTCACATGGCACAAATCATTTTGCCAAAGACAGATTTAAAGGAAAAATAGTTGAGTCAAATAGTGATTCTAATGGCCACTGGCTTTTGCTTGTTATTGAATTAGCAGAAAACCACTTTGTATTGGGTAATGTGTATGGGTATAACCTTCCTACATTAAACAAATTAGACAAATTAGAGGAACAGTTCAACTCACTTCTAGAAAAATATCCTAAGGCCAAAATTTATTATACTGTAGGTGGTGACTTTAATATGGTTTGGTCAGGCTTAGATGACCGCATCCCACCATGGACGTCAAATTCTGAAATCAGACTTATTCAGTTTTGTAACAGAATGAATGTCTTGGACATATGGAGATTCCGAAATGCTTCAGTTAGACAGTTCTCATGGGCAAACAAAAACTTGACACTACAATCAAGAATTGATCTTTGGCTGATCTCATCAGAACTACAACCTAATGTAAATGGGGTAGAAATTTCCCCTGCCATTATGACAGATCATAGAGCAATTAAAGTAAGACTAAATGTAAGTACTTTCTGTATTAATAGGAAAGATGTGGATTATTAAATAATGCTCTTTAAAAAATGAACAATTGATCTCAGATATTACTTACCTAAATGAAAATATCTGGGAGAAGGGTGTTGTTAACAGGGAATATGGAAAATACTGGGAAATTTGAAAAAACAAATCTGGCAATTTCTTATGGCAAAAAAACATTCTGCTGAAAAGATGAATAGAGAAGATAAGATATGCGATGATTCCAATGTTATCTCTAAATATATTGCTAATTTCTTTGCTAACTTGTACGAACTTAATGATTCCTATGATAGTTCCTACATCCTGAATTCAATCATAAATGCAAAAACAGCCAGCCCCAATTTTAGCAGAGAATAATAACCTTATAGGTAAAAAGATAACCTTAGCGGAAATTCTTTCAGGCATAAAATAAAAAAAAAACAATAAATCACCAGTTAATGATGGGCTTTCTACTGAGTTCTATAAAGTGTTTGTCCCATCTCTCCTTACCTTTTCTTACTAGTAGGAGAAGTTCTTAATTTATTAAGAAATCAGCATTCCTTTAAAGGCATTAGTTTTAATGGTAGGCATATAAAAATTTTGCAACTAGCTGATGACACTACTTTATTTCTAGAAAGTAAAACTGAAGTCTCTCATGCTTTCTGTTGTAAAAACCTCTCTAAAGTGTCTGGTCTCCACCTCAACTCAAGTGTGAGATTTTTGCTCTTAAAGGACATTATAGAAATGGAGTTATATAACATCCCATCAAAAGACACTGTGAAATATTTAGGAATTATGATAAAGGATGATAAGAAATTGATTAATGATAATTTGGACCCTTTAATTTCATCAGTCAAGATGAAATTCAACTCTTGGTTAGCCAGAGATTTATCTCTATATGGTAGAGTCCTACTCAGCAAACCAGATGGCCTGTCAAGAGCCTTGTATCTCTTTTTAACTCAGTTAATGTCACTAAACAGAAGCCATCTTGTTTAGACACTACTTTTTGATTTCATTTGGAAAAATAAACCACATAAGGTTAAAAAGGAAATTGTGTTTACCTCTTACAGAGGGGAGGGTTCAATGTTCTAGAGCCTTCTTCGTTTAACCATATTATAAAAATTAATTGGATTAGAATTTTTTAAAATAATCCAGATAGCATGCGGAATATCATCCCAAATTTCCTATTTAAAACGGTTGGTGGTCTTAGTTTCTTATTAATGTGTCCCTTCGCTGTGGGTAAGCTCCCAGTCAAACTCTCCAACTTCCATAAATCAGCCCTTATGAGCTGGTCTCTCTTGTATAAGCGCAACTACTCTCCTCATAAATATTTTTTCTGGAATAATGTCATTATCACTTATAACAACAAATCCTTGTTCTTTGAAAATTGGTTTAAAAATAACATTCTATTTGTAAAGCACCTGTTTAACTGTGATGGAGCTCTATTGTCATATAAACACTTCATAGCTAGGTACAGGGTTCCTGTCTCCCAGCAGGAGTATAATACCGTTATTAATGCACTTACATCTGGCACTCGTTGAGCATGCACCTTCTCAAACATACACAACTCTTTATCAGTTTAGATATTGCTGTTAATGGCACTTCTATCTTTGATAAAAGATTCAACAACATCTATGTAAGAAACTCCCTCATTAACAGCTGTTAAACTTGGAGTAAATGGGCATGCCAGTACAGATGCCTCAAAACTGTACTTAAGTAGGCTACAGTACTTGATACTTTCCACTATGGGCTTTTGTTATTTCCAGCTTCTGAAATGTGAGAATCATGTTATTTGTAAAAAGAATATCTTTGGGTTTAGAACTGTTGGTCTTTGAGGGTCTATAGCCAACTTTCAAATTCAAGTTGTGTAGTGACTATTATTTACATAACCAATCGGCAAATGTTTCAATAGCATAACGTTAATTTTGGATCTTGGGCAAAATCCCGGATACAGGCGGCCGAAATTAGCTTCCTCCGCAGGGTGGCCGGGCGCACCCTTAGAGATAGGGTGAGAAGCTCGGTCAACCGGGAGGAGCTCAGAGTAGAACCGCTGCTCCTCCACATCGAGAGGAGCCAGCTGAGGTGGCTCGGGCATCTGTTTCGGATGCCTCCTGGACGCCTTCCTAGGGAGGTGTTCCGGACATGTCCCACCGGGAGGAGGCCCCGGGGAAGACCCAGGACACGCTGGAGGGACTATGTCTACTGGCTGGCCTGGGAACACCGCGGCATTCCCCCGGAGGCGCTGGAGGAAGTGTCTGGAGAGAGGGAAGTCTGGGCATCTTTGCTTAGACTGCTGCCCCCGCGACCCGGTTCCGGAGAAGCGGAGGAAAATGGATGGATGGATGGATGGAACGTTAATTTGCAATTACATATCAATTCGTAATAATTTACATCTTATGATTTGATTTGATTTATTCTTTCAAGCATGTAAAATCAGTTGATATGACAACACACATAATTTTACACATAATCCAATATCAATTTGCTTATACCTAGTACATGCTTGAATGGAGTAGGAAGAAGTCAGACTTATCCAGTCCTACCCCATAACATCATCTTACCATCATTGGTTTGCAAGCAGTAAATGATTCACTTCTACCCACACGCATATTATACTAAAAAAAGATTATAACAGTGTTAACATTCTTACATCACACAAGTAATATACTAAAGAATTATTACAAAATGTACACCACACCCACAATTGTCCATTGATTATGGTATGAGCACGTTTCCATTGTTTTCGTAACCGGTAAGACACATTTACATTAATTTCCTTGTGCCATGCTGCAGGTGATTTTTCATTTATTTATTTTTTTTAAAACAAGATCCTTTTAATCCAAATCTCGCGAGACTTCATAATTGGAGCATCGTGGCGACGAGAGTACACAGCAATGTAGACTTGTTGTTGGAGAAGGAGGAGCGGGGAAGTAGACGGAAGAGAAAGCAAGAGTGGGAAAAAAAAAAAAATTGCATACAAGTAAGAACAGATACAGTATTTATGATGGCATCGGGGGACACTCTGTACATAGAAGCGGACGGGTCAGAAATGCCAGCCGAAATAGTGGAATTACACGAAATCGAAGTAGAGACAATCGAGACAACAGTTGTTGGAGACAACGGGGAACACCAGCCTATGATCGCTTTGCAGCCTCTTGACACCGATGATCCGAACTCGATTCACTCGCACCAGGAGGTGATTTTGGTGCAAACAAGAGAAGAGGTGGTGGGTGAGGACGACTCTGAACTGCACACTGATGACGGTTTCGAGGACCAAATCCTCATCCCAGTGCCCGCCGTGGAGGAGGACTATATAGAACAGACTCTGGTTACTGTAGCAGGGAAAAGCTCGACAGGCCGGACGAAGAAGTCTGGTAGCGGAAAGAAAGCGAGCAAAAAGAGCTACATGAGCGGAGGTGAAATGGGCAGAAAATGGGAACAGAAACAGGTCCAAATAAAGACTTTGGAGGGGGAGTTTTCAGTCACTATGTGGGCTTCGGGTAAGTAAAGTTCAGAGTCCTGAGTGAATTCCTGCACGGTGGCAGCTCGCTTTGTTCTCAGCGTGTGCGCCGGGTGACTGGGCCTGGTTGGGGCCTTGTCCTCGGCTAAAGTAGGAACTATTTCCCAACTCTGAGCCACTTAAACTTCATTTGAAATGTTTTTGTTTTTATGGGAAGCCATGTTTTATCTGTTGATGGGCGCCGCCATATTTCCCCCCGGTGTAGAAAGTATGGCGTCTCGAAAAAATGGCGTTTATTTGGCCGACGAAGATGGCGGCGAGAGTGGGAGCGAGTGCTGGTGGCTGCGCTAGGCCGCTGTGGCGCAGTTCAGTTCAGGGGTAAAGGTGGCTGTGGTGCCTTCAGGAACCCCTCATACTTTACACTTCTGAGGCTCCAAACGGACTATATGTGTTTGTGTGGTTAATAAATACAACGAACCAGAATAGATGTTTATCTTATTGTTAGTATTGTAGATCAGCTGTGGCAAGCATGATGTAGTTTATACGAGGCTTACTCAAATTCTTTGCCCCAATAACTGTCTAAAACATCATACAGTTTATAATGTGTCGGTCATAAAAATAATGTATATATTTGTCGGTAGCCTATTTGAAAAGCGTTGTGATCCAAATTGTAGATAGTTGTTTTTTTTTTTTTTTTTTGAAAGATTTGTCACAAAAAAAAACAAACAAGCCAACAGTTTGTATTTTGAATACACATTTGATATGAGCAATTTTTGTAAATCACAATAATTACCTGTCTGGACAAAACCCGGAGCTTGTGCCTTTTTGTAGTAAATTAGTAACAATGGAAGGTGACCTGTGATAATGCTTTAGCTCTAAATGGCTTTAATCACTTCTTAACTGCATGTTCTGGTACTGTGTGAAATAACACCTTTCAAAAACTCTGTCCCTCTAATTCAGATGACAAGAAGGACATAGATCATGAGGAGCAAATCACGGGTGAAAACTCACCTCCAGATTATTCAGAGTACATGACAGGGAAGAAGCTTCCTCCAGGAGGCATCCCAGGCATCGACCTGTCAGACCCCAAACAGCTGGCAGAGTTTGCCCGGTAAGTGGTCATGTTGGTTATATTCACCCAAGTAAAATTATAGTGAGCCATATGTAGTGACCCATAATGAAAGACATTTGTACATAGAGCTAGGGCTGCAATGAACAACAGTTGTGATAATCAATAATACAAAGGTTGTAATAGTGACCTGTTGATTATTTCTAAGATTAATTGGATGTATAAAAAGAAATTGTGAAAGAATAGAGCTTTTCATAAAGTGGACAGGTCCTTACAGTGTTTACAAAAATAGTAATGTTTAAGTAATTGTTCATAAAACATCCTATGCTAATATAAAGGGCCTGTACAAGCTTGACTGCTACTGTAGATTTCAGTATTCCTAAAACAGGCCTCAGCACATTTAGGCAATTTACTCTGCACTATCCCCATTTCCTTGCATATGTGTCATCAATGTTTGTGATCACATATGGTAACTTAGCCTGGCAGAGTTTGCACCATACAGTCTCATGCAAAAGTTTAGGCACACCTTAAAAAAAAACAAATTTTGGGGATTTTTTTTTTTTTTTCTTCCTTGCAAAAGGCTTCTAGTTCTGTAATATTCTTTGGTCGTCTTGCATGCACAGCTCTTTTAAGATCTACCCACAAATTTTCAATGATGTTTAAATCAGGGGACTGTGATGGCCATTCCAAAACCTTCAGCCTGCGTCTCTTGAGGTATTCCATAGTGGATTTCGAGGTATGTTTAGGATCATTGTCCTGTTGTAGAAGCCATCCTCTTTTCAGCTTCAGCTTTTTTACAGATGGTGTGATGTTTGCTTCCAGAATTTGCTGGTATTTAGTGGAATCCATTCTTCCCTCCACCCGTGCAATGTTTCCTGTGCCACTGGCTGCAACACAACCCCAGAGCATGATAGATCCACCCCCATGCTTAATAGTTGGCAAGGTGTTCTTTTCATGAAATGCTGCTCCTTTTTTTCTCCAAACATGCCTTTGCTGATTGTGTCCAAAGAGTTCTATTTTAACTTCATCAGTCCACAGCACTTGTTTCCAAAACGCATCGGGCTTCTGTAGATGTCCTGTTGCATACTTCAGATGTTGGATTTTATGATGGGGACGCAGATAAGGTTTTCTTCTGCTGACTCTTCCATGAAGGCCTTGTCTGTGCAAGCATCGCTGCACAGTGGAACGGTGCACCACCACTCCTGAGTCTGCTAAATCTTCCTGCAGGTTTTTTGCAGTCAAATGTGGGTTTTGATTTGTCTTTCTGACCAGCATACGAGCAGTTCTGTCCGAGAGTTTTCTTGGTCTTCCAGATCTCATCTTGACCTCCCCAGTTCCCCTGATCTGCCATCTCTTAATTACATTTCTTACTGTGGAAACTGCAAGCTGACAACGCTTTGCTATCTTCTTGTAGCCTTCTCCTGCATTGTGGGCATCAATAACTTTCATTTTCAGGGTCTTACACAGCTGCTTAGAGGAACCCATGGTTGCTGGGTGTCCGCAAGTGTGTGCACAAGGTTTGAAGAGTCAAGGTATTTGTACAGCTTTGAAATTGGCATTTACCAATGACAGCTGTTGCTGTGCATCAGATCTAATGAGCTGATTAAGGTCTGAAACCTTGTGAGAGACTTTGAGACTCTGGAACTCTTAGGGTGCCCAAACTTTTGCACCATGCCATAATAATGTTTTTATTTTTTATTTTTGTTCAATTTATGGCATAAGAAGTAACTATGCATCACTGTTTGCTGAAAATATTGTGCATTTTTTTCCATTTCCAAGAGAGACTGTGTTAACATCTGTTCAAATAAAAAAATCACCAAAATCTGTTATTTATCAAGGGGTGCCTAAACATTTGCATGAGACTGTAGCTCATTTTAGTTTATTTTCTCGAAGAAGTTCCACACAGAATTTTTGTTGGCTGTAGTCTCTGCATATTTCTGCTGTTTTGCATTTGGCATTGTAGTAAAATTATATGCTAGTCTTTTTATAGTGTTATTTCCAGGTGCCGGTAAAAGCAAGGGGAAACAGTGGCTCTGTGTTTTTAAAGACAAAACCATAGTCGCATGAAATATTAGGGTGTGTGTGTGTGTGTGTGTGTGTGTGACGACTGAATTTTTGAAAATCTTTGCCCATCCCTACAGTTTGTTTCATGTTTACATGAATGCAACACAAATGCAGTTCCATTTAGCGCTTCTTATTAGCAGCCTACCATTATGTTCCTAAATATATAGTATAATTAGCATCATAACATACACTCACTGGCCACTTTATTAGGTACTCCTGTACAGTTGTATGCAATTCAGTGCAACACTGTATTCAGAGTTGTTTCTATATTTTTGTCCTCTCCAGCTGCATACATGAGGGGGTCAGAATGTTAGGACCACCTCTGAATATAATTTAGTCCAGTACAACAGCACCTTTAACTATGACCTCAATAATAAACCTACAATTGAATTTATACATTTATGACAGTTTTGCCAAAAAACTCGAACAAATGTTTGTCATATTTGGCACTGGGCAAATATTCTCTCAAAATAAAGTGCTCCCAAACAAGTTTGGCCATCCACCTTTCTCTGCTGTAACCATGCTTGCTCCTATCTACTGCTTCTCAAATGTTTTTTAATATGGCTCACTGACGGTCATCTAGTTGCTGACCCAGCCACCCACCACAGTTGCATGACTAGACCCAACTAATCGACAATTAAATTGGTCAACTATTTTTATTATCAGTTTTTATTGAGTTTAGCAGTCAGTTGTTGCAGCCTTGCATATAACAGTCTTCCAATAGGAAATGTTTCTCTCACTAAAAGTGAGTTAAAGGAACATTATAAACTTTGGTTCACCCAGTGCATCCTGAAAAGCACAGTCAGCTTTTTTGTAGAGTGCAGTATTTTGTGTGCGTGTGTCTTTAGCTGAATAAGTGGACAGTGGTGTAAAAGTATATAATGGTGGCACCTCTTTTATTTGTTACAGCATGAAGCCAAGAAAAGTAAAAGAAGATGACGCACCCAGAACAATAGCTTGTCCACACAAAGTGAGTGCAGTGTTCTCTTTATTGTGCCACTATAAAAAGTACTGTTCGTAAACAGCAGATTGCTGAACTGACATTCCTGAAAACATGCACATTCATTACACTGGTATGAGGAACATTTCAGCTTTCTAAGCTGATGTGGTTTTAGTCACTACACTGTTGAGCAGTTATGTCCAGAGGGATCAGCTTCTTCTGTGTTTCACTTCCTCTCAGGGATGTACCAAGATGTTCAGGGACAACTCAGCGATGAGAAAGCACTTGCATACTCATGGGCCTCGTGTGCACGTCTGCGCAGAGTGTGGCAAAGCCTTCGTGGAGAGCTCAAAGCTGAAGAGGCATCAGCTTGTACACACAGGAGAGAAACCTTTCCAGGTGAGTTCATGTCACACTCAATTTTCTCCTGGAGAAAGCTGCATAACTTTGCATTCATTTCTTTAGTGGTAGGAAAAGAAACAGTACATACTGATATGTTATCTTTCCCAACCGGCTTGTGTCAGAGCAGTTACACACCTTATTATTGTCTCAAATAGAGAAAGAGAGACACAGCACATTTAAGCCACGCCCATACGGGGGGGGCACTCCATTGACTTTGTATTCAGTGATGGTGTCTTTTTGACAGTTTGTCTATTTACAAAAAAACTAAACAATGCCTAAAAGCTGCTGTGTGACCAGATGCACTACCAACAAGGTAGTGCATCCAGAGTGACCATTGTAAAAGCTGCTGAACAAAAGAATGAAGCTTTAAGACAAAAGTGAGAGGTTAGCAAGAAGAACAGGGAAACTCTGGGATCCTGACACACTCTGCCTTTTGAATAGCAAGAATATTGTCACTGTTAAGTCAAATATCAGTTTAGGTTACTATATTTCTGTATGTTAAACTAAAGCACTTGGACAGTATAGCCCATTTTCCACCACCTGGTACCAGTTCAACTTGACTCGCTTCAGTCAGATGTTGGGGACAGTACCTGGTACTATTTGTGGTATCACCTCTGTCGAGTTTCCATGCGAGCAGAGATGATACCAAACAGTGATGTGTAAACACTGTACACTAGTGACTGGTCAAAGAAATTGCGCCATCAGAAGTGGAACAAAAAAAGCTCAATTTTTAAAAGCAGTTATTTAACATAAACTTCTACTTTACTGTAGTTACTGTACTAAACAAAACAGCAGAGAATCCAGAACAATAACCATTTGATGTCCTTCATTGTTTGTGTCTGTTGCTGGTGATGTCACAGCAGTGTCACTGTGACAACCAGCTACACTGCAAAGGGACCATCTGCAGTGCAAAACTAAGCACTTGGTACTAAAAGCAAGTATAGTTGAGTTGAGCTGGTAACAGGCGATGGAAAAAGGGCTTATGTTAAAGTTTGTGTTATAAATCAGAAAGCTATGCAGTAACATGTTTTTAAGTACCTTAGCTAACTACAGTAGTTTGCTAATATACAGCTAACATTCTAATAGTAGCTTTTAAAACTTTAACTCCGGGTACTTTGCCTTCTTTGTCGAGCATCCTGTCACAAACATTTAGGCAGTGAGACATCTTCATTCAATACAAAGTCAGTAGAGAGTCGGTGTGGTTTTCAGAGTATGATGCATTGCGCTCTGTCTCTATGCCTGCTTTTGATGATATTATCACTATATCTGTTAGCCAAGCTGAGACATGCAGGAGCATTAACTTGATCTCTTGTCTCCAGTGCACATTTGAGGGCTGTGGCAAGCGGTTTTCTCTGGACTTTAACTTGCGCACACATGTGCGTATTCACACTGGAGACCGCCCGTATGTGTGCCCCTTTGATGGCTGCAACAAAAAATTTGCCCAGTCGACCAACCTGAAGTCTCACATTCTCACACACGCCAAAGCTAAAAACAACCAATGAGTCAGCCCTGAACCAGGTTGATGACAGCGTGAGCACACACTGGAGGATCTGAACCTGTATCTCCACTTCTTGACAAACAAACTCATGTCATGTGGCCTGCTTTATGGTAAGATATGAAGTCCCCTTTGCGCTGTCTTGAAGTGAATGCTTAAACAGAAAACATTTTCTGACTTCCTGATATACATGAACTGTACATGGAAAAATGAACTTGTGAGAAGCCCAACCCACTCAGGCCTCCTACCCTACTTTGGCTCTACCTGGATTTATGATCTCTTCTTGTGAAGATATTAATCCTTGGATCTGCACCTAATCATCAGAAATACTGTAGTTGTATTTATACTGTAGTAAAACGTATTTATACCTTAATACAGCCAGTTAGTTTTTTGCAATACAAGTCAAATTTGCATTAGTCCTCAGCAATGACACCCTTTCAAATTTGTACTTTTCCCTAAGTGTGCATATTGTACACTGTCTGGCATAAGCTCTGTGATAATGTATGTAATAAGACTGTCCTTGTAGCTCTTCTCAGAAGGCTTCAGTTTGTTTTACCTTTTTTTTTTTTTTTTCTTCATCTGTGTTTTGAGGGATGAATGGGTTGTCTTTACATATTTTCATTTTGTATAACTATCAATCTTGTAGATAATAGCCATGTGATTTTCAGCAGTGATCACTGATTAAAATGTTTTTCCCTCTTGCACTGTCATTACAAAAAGTGTAGTTTGTTCTCTAACAATTAGAACTCAAACTATAACTGTTATGTTCAGTAGCAGTGAAATTTAGAGCTGCTCTGAAGACTAAAAGGAATTGAGGTCACTACAACACGTGATAATATTACGGGGAGGGCCCTTTTCTAG